AGATCATATAAAATCGTCAAATACTTCAAACTACGTCCTACACTGTAAACTACTTTCAATCATATCTCTAATATTGGAGGATGTGATGTTCTGTCGCACGTTTTTCAATAATTTGTTTGATTAGTATAATGCAAATTTAATCCGATAAGTTGTATTCTTATGGCTTGTCCAACTGACATTGTTTTTACAGTTCAAATCGAATACAATAGAGGTATTTACAGAGCTCATTTTAAAGGTATACACCTTCATAGATGCATAAGCTTCCAGTACACTTCCAATGGACCCTGGTATTTTTAGGATACCAAACAAACATTTGATGCAGAATAAAAGGTTTTTCAGGCAAAAATCTGCTTCTTCAGCTATAAAATGGCTTATTCAGCCTTTAATCAGCTCAAATTGGTTGTTGGGTGGCGTATATGTTTACGATGCGCATAGTTAATAACCCTTATGTATATTGTAAATGTTTACATACCTGTTTGTATATCTTGGAAATAACATTGATCTTCCTGGTTTTAGAGCTTTAGATCTCTGTTGTTTGGTTCATGATGAGTAAAGGATGGTGCAACGATTTGTCAAAACAGGCTCTACAGACAGGCAACTTTTTTCCGCTGCCCGTTTAACTAAATAAACGAAACCACAATCAAAATTCCGCCAGGATTTATCACTAAACAGTTCTAACGTATCGGGCCTTAATACGAATGTCACTTCACGGTGAAAACTCGTCACTTGTCATCACGGTGAAGTGATTCCCATTTGATTTGTACGGCAATCACGGCTCTTATTCTGAGTATCACTTGCTTATCACCGTGTAGTGACACCCGTAATAAGGCCCATCATCTTACTACAAAAGATACGTTCTCCGTCACTAAAGGAAGAGATTTTTCATGATTCAGAAAACAATAACAAACTTACTCCCTGCCAGCGGCTCAGTTTGTTTATTTTTTTTCTACTCCTTCTCCATGAGAAAGTATACCTCACCGCGCGCCTACTTTCTTTCAGTCCCGTTTCATCATGCTGTAGGTCAAAACTCAATGCGGGCGGAAGCGGAACGGAAACGGAAAGTTTGACAGTTGTCACAAATGACATCAAGATGCCTAACCGAAGTCGATTTGGTTCTAACTAGTTCGGGCTTTTCCGCTGCCGCTGCCGTTCTGCTTCCGCTATCATTGCGAAAACAATGATTCGTTATTGACGGTAACATTGATGAAGTAAACCTCACAGTGATTTTAACTGTTGTGATACAATTTGCAAGCAAAATTTCTTAAATTTTCGGAATATCCTTGTTCTGATTCCGATTCTGCATTATGATCCTGATACACTAAAGATCTAAATGGAAGCTTGATGAGTCTGATTTATAGCAGTCAATGTTATAGCACTAACTGCTAGATTACCATCTTCACCTAACTCAACAGGAGTAATCTTTGTTTATGGTTTAAGACCCACTTTTTCGGCTATGTTGGTCGAAATGGTGGTTTATTTGAGCAATATGTTAACTGTGGATCATTTTTGATTCACAAATATTTTAAGCTGAATAAGAGCTTATTCAGCCAAAAATTTGCTTCTTGAGTCGAAAACTGGCTTATTCTGCTTTTACTCAGCTAAAATTGTTTGTTGGGAATAATATTGAGTGCTAATTTTTTAGCTCTTCTTGGTAACTCTTGAGTAACAACTTCATTAACTCAGGTCCTGTATATAATCTCTTGGTAGTGCTGTCTTTGTGGTCTATACAGGTATAATCTTTGAACCATGTAGATCAACGGTATGAGGAACAGTTTCGTAGTCTTTGAGATTGTTATGACTGATTTTTAGAACCTTAATGATAAGTTTCAGTTTTTGGGAGACGATACTAAGTGGCCCACATATAATGAGAAACGATATCGGCTACTTAGTATCCTCTCCCGAAAACTAACAAATATCTTTAAGGTTCCAAAAATCAGTCAAAACCATCTCAAAATCATCGTAGAATTGATCTACATGGCTCAAAAATTATACCTGGATACACTACAGAAATAGAAGGATTTCAGGTCGTTAAATCACAAGACTTACAGATACTTTATGTGCCTTTAGATCATCTAGACACATTATAGTTATGAATCCAAACATTCACAATTGGTGATATGAGTAACGTTTTTAAGGCCTTGAATGCCGGCTTCTCTATCTGAAGGCAAATTTCGAATCGCATTTGGTTTGATCACGAAGAACCCCAGCTAGGAAGGAGCAGCAATTTTGGCAAAGCATCTGTATTGGTCTCATTTTATATCTTTCCATATGTTCGTTGAGGGTTTTTACCTATAAAGGCTAGCTGAAAAAGATTCACGATATGATTCTAACCTCAAATTACTCACCCGCTCAACGGCAACACTTGTCCATAAACAGACAATCTCAATCTATCAAGAGATAACGAAAAATTGAGTTAAGATTCAGATCGTGTTCTTGTCTTTTGGGTGGCGGTGGAAAGTGACTCTGATGAATGCTTTTAGCAGTTTTGGGGCACATTTTCAATTGTTTTACCTTCTACTATAGCTAAAGTTACCGCAGATTCATCGAATGGCCCCTAGTTTTGCGCGAAAGCATGCTTTACCATAATAGCCTCGTGCAACTGGTTATGAAGAACAAGAAGCTTTCCATGATTTTCAGATTAAGTCAATTGATCTTGAGCCTATTTAAATTTTAGTAGGTTTGGGATCTGAAATGTTATTGTACGCATGCTATTGACCGTGACGAGAGAAACTTTCTGTTCATGGTCAAAGATCCACCCTAGACAACCCGTTTCGACCGAATAGACTTTCCAAATTTCGGATAATGATGGCTGAAGGACATTTTTTTTTCAAATCAATCGCTATGAAAAATGATTATTCATGAGATTTTCCTTGATCTTTCTGGCACGATTTAGTAAACTTCTATTTACTGAACCACTCTAGTTTCAATCTGATCAATATGCGAACTGTCAAATATCAATAGCGAGAAACACGCTAATCTCAATTGCATTAATATTAGGTATACACTACAAGTATCCAACGTATTTGACTCAGTAGGGCGGGGCACCAAACATTTGCTAAAAGTAGAATGCAACCTGCCGTTGATATAGGGCTATTGCAAAACATAAATTAATTCGATTTCAATCACATTTGCAGTAACCGTTCCCTTACCAACGAGCTGCAGTTGCATCGTGCCGTCAGTTGTAAAAGTTATTCAATCATTCGCCCAATAATCCTGCCGAAATAACTCAGTCATCGCACCCCGCCCTGGCTGTGATGATTCAACAGCCAATTTGAAACCTGTTGTCGATGGAAGGTAAAAATGTCCTACCTTTATCATAAAAAAAAATTACAATCGTTAAACGGGAGATCGCTCGAACCCGTTGCCAGGCCCGCTACGCACGCCCTGGCAGGGGCGTATTGCATAACTGCCACACTACCATAGCAAATGCCCTTTCCCTTTAGTCATTCTCGAACGCCCGAGCCGTGATGGGCTGGCCTGGATCGAAATATTTATGCGAAAAAATAACATGAAAACTGATCAAAAGACAGCCACCGCCACTGCGCACTTCGACAAAGGGCAACTTTCCCTTCTCACGCCCAAGCCGAAATCCAAGACCCCCCCACCCCCTCATTTCATGCGTTGCGCCGGCGTCGATAAATCACGTGACATTTCACCAACTGGTTCCATTCGAAAAATCTGGAAATTTAAAAATTAAATCCCACCACAGGCGGGCGGTGCAGAAAGGCGCGGGGCTAAAATCGTAACATTACCGCAATATTTACATAATAATCCAATCTCATCCAAGTTGGCGGCGGGCGGCCGTGATGACACGAAGACGACGATCTTTATAAGCAGACATGCTTAGGCAAATGACAAACATAACGAACCAGTTTTATAAATCTTGCCTAATGTCAATAAATTAGGAAATGTTTGTTGATTTTTTCGAAAAAAAAAATATCGGAAAACTTTCTCCGCCCATCCGGATGGAATCGGGTTTTGTTTTGCTTCGACCGTCTAATACAAAGACTGTCACAGGGGGGGATTGGGTTTGACATCTCCGTGGTCGGTAATCGGGGGTGTGGTGGGGGTCGCTAAATTAGCATAAAGATCAGCAAGCAGCGGAAAGCGAAAGTGACATGTCGTTGTCGTCTCTCCGTCCGGATAACGGCAGCGGCGGGAGAAATGCACGATGGATGCCAAGCTGACAGATGATCGATCGATTTTGGTTCGGGGGTCTCCTGGCGACGAACATCGGGAACCGGATATTTTTTTGGGTCTCAGATTTCAAAGATATGCATTATTAATGAGTCCGTCCGGAGCCGGTTCCGGGGGGTCTCTCGCTCGAGGGTGCAAGCGTGCGAAAAATGTGTCGAAATTTTCGTAATTTCTTTCGTTTATCGCACAAAGCCACACTTTCGCTTTTGTATTCGGAACTGACGTTTTTGAGCGTATGGAACTCAGAAACACTTCGATGACCCGACGGAGATCAGAAGAGCATTTTCCACTCGTCCTCCGAAAACTGTAGGCAGTTAGGCTACAGGAAACGCAAAATACCAAGGCTAACCAGATTGCATAACCTCAATGCTAATTTCAACCTTTTCGGGCGAATCGCAAACAAACAGACACCTAACCTACTTTTTTTCTATTAATGGAAGCAATCTTCAAAGGTGTTCATCCTCGTGCGACTTCCCACTTCACACGCTACAGCAATCTGCATAACCGCACATTACCCGTTGCGCCCATATACGTTTGTGCCCATGGATGGAAACACTACCGTGGCCGCTTGCGACAAATGCCATCAAACTGATGGATAAATATTTATTATGACGATTTCTCTTGCCTTACCCCTCCTGTCTCGTGCACTCTGCCTTTTGCGAACAACAATTAGACGCAACACTCTTCCTCATTTGATTGTCATTACATAGACCAAGTACCGTCATACGTTGATGCGAGCGCATTGACATTTGTTTGTTTACAATTTTTTTCACTTTCTTCTTTTCTTACTTTGTGCAAAACAGGTGTTCCACACACGGAATATGGAGCCCCCACCGGACATCAGGGCTACGCCTAGATTTCCGAACGCATTGACCTAAGCTGATGAACTGCCACCACAACCACCACCAACCCGCGATACCTCCGTATTTGCTTTAAAACTAGTCTAGTTAAGTGCGTGCGAACGTTCGTTGCTAGGTGCGATCGACTCGGTATGGACCCCTAGACAAACGAAACGATAAAAAAAAAAACTAATCAAAACAAACATGGGGCTAGTAGATGACAGTTTGACATTCGAACCTGGGTCGCCGCCGCCGCCACCGTCGTCGCCATCTTCCCTTTCTTAACGGTGACAGAGGAAAGATGGCACCGGTGGCCAATTCTTGTTTCACAGACTCCTTCCTACCAGGTTTTCTTTATCCCCAGGCTCGAATGCCATCGTGACAACGTGGAAGACTAACTTAATTTAATGAAGAATAAGAAGAAGGAAACTGACATTTTTTTCGCTGTTAAATTATTGAAAAAAAAGCCCGGAAAAAGTGTAATTTTAATGTGTAACTTGAGTAAGAAACTAGGTGAAGATGAAGAAGAAGAGAGAAACAAGTTGTTGTTTATATTTAAGTACCATATCGATATATGTAGGAAACGAAAATAAAAGAGAGATTTTATAAACAAAGTAACTGAGTCTCGTTTTATTACAGTTAACAAAACCTAACGTACTAAAAACGATTGCACACTAGAAAACGGTTACGTACTAAAATCCTAATAATAAACAAAAATATATATATCAATCAGACTGTCGTCGTCGCTGCTGAACTGAACAGCTTGAGAAATTTATGGAAGATATACTCGGACAGGACCGACCTATAGTGGTACACCATAGCTGTTGCTGGGAGTTTGACTCGGAGGCGCTCCATAGTCTCCGCTGATAGACGGGGCGTTTCCTGCGGGAGAACCGCTCTCCGGATATGGACCTCCGGGGTTCCCTTCCTGTTTCTGTAGTTGTTTCGGGACCGACAGCAGTACGTAGATGGAAAAGAGGGAGAAAATTAAGAATTTTACGTTGAGTGACTCGCCAGCAGCAATGGTGGTGGGATTGTTGTGCGAAATCACCTGCGTTTTGTAGCGGATGAAGTAGACTTCCGGCTTGGATGGGGGCGTTGGCGCAGGCGTCGGGATGACAATTTCCGGTTGTTCGTCCTGCTTTTTGACTAGAACGTATACGAGGGTCTTTTCTTCGTTCTGCGGCAGGAGGGGAATCACCGGTGGGGCTTGCGACGGCGGCGATGGCGCCTTGATGAAGACGATCTTGTAGTGCTTCTGGGGAGGTGGGACGGTGAATGGTTTGCTGGAATGTTGGTATATAGTTAGATTGTTGTTAAGGTAGTAGGAATATCTTAAATGGGTGGTTCACTGAAGATTGGAAATATTATTGCATCGCTCACACAAAAGAGCGATCTGCAGTACAATAGTCAGCGAACGGTGGGTGACTTGTATGCGCGATCAAGTGATGAACCCGATGAATTGCACAAAATAGCTCAGAATGAGTGATTATTTTGGAGTAAAGTCACGCTGCCGCTCATCGTAAGTCGGTCCCATTTGCGTTTTTGTCAAAACGGATTTTTGACTTAGGACTACATCTGTACATTTTATGCAAGCCGAAAATGGAACATGTAACAAAATTATGAAAGATTTTGAACGTTAATAACTCAGCTGCCCCTGGACCAATTTCAATAATTTTATCACCAATCGATCAGAAATATTTCAACACATCTGTTAAATTTAAGGCTTTATCATTTTTCAAAATGTCACTATTGAAAATTGCACGAATGTATTATATAAGACCACGTAGTCCTTCGTCACCATTGCGTACAACCACATAGGGCTGTCCCTTGTAGTTTTTCGAAGGAAAAGGTACACACTTAGAAATAACTACTTTTATCCGAGACGTAATCCATGTTGGACGTAAATCATGAAACGTAAACAAACATTTCATGTAAAATTAAGTGTTTTCAAACCGAAAAATAAGCAAATCGACGAAGAGAACGTTTGATTGAATAGATTTTAATGATTTTTTCAGGTGATTCTTATGTCAAAAGGGCCGCATACATGTGTCAGCTTACATTAACCATAAACCATAACCAGGACCATAATGTCGCTTACAGGGCCGCTTACATTAACCATAAAAATGTTATGGTTAATTTGCTTAATGACGTGTTCGGGGTATCATCCAAACCATTTGTGGAAAAGCTCAATCATTTGGGTTATCGTTCGTTTATGGTTTTTTTTTATTGAGGCTGTGAACCACAGGGAAAATTTACGGAGGTACAAAACCTCATGTACCGGTCGATGGCTCAAAATTCTAACCACATCTGTAAATGGTTCCGGCAAGGCCCCAAAAAGGACACTTCCAAAACTTCATGTACTGGTATCGTCCGCCGGCTCAAAATTTATGATTTTGCATCCAGACGTAAATAGGCATCACCTCATGGACCAACAGGTGGATCTTTCCACATCTGGATACCCTTAACTGGTTCCGGAAGGGCCTAAAAAGGACACTTCCATAACCCCATGTACTGCTACCGTCCGACGGCTCAAATTTCCGGAGAACTTCGAGATTAGGGCGTAATTGCTTTTTTAAACAAACATGTCAACCACCGATTTCTCGTGAATTAAAGCTCAATCTCGAAAACTAACAACACACACAGGTAGAAGACTGACTCCTCTATCCTTTGGTATAGTTTGTTTGCAAGATTAAACTTTTATTCGCGAGCAATCGGCGATTGACGTGTTTGTTTACAAAAGCAATTACGCGCAAATCTCAAAGTTCTCCGGATTTGATGATTTTTCATCCAGAAGCAAATAAGCATCATGTCAGTATCCAGATGTGGCCTGTTTATTCATGGCATCATGTCTATTTACTTCTGGATGAAAAGTCATAAATTTTGAGTTGTCTTTCGGTACCAGTACATGAGGTTTTGGAAGTTTTCTTTTTGGGATCCGGATGTGGCCAGATCCACCTGTAGATCCATGGTATGATGTCTAGAATATCGGATGAAGAATCATAAACTTTAGGCCGTCGGATGGTACCAGTAAATGAAGTTTTGGAAGTGTCGTTATGTGCTCTTTCGGAACTAAACGGCCAAATTAAAAAAAAAATCTGGTCAGGGTGCTATTCTAGGAACCTTCATCTTTCATTCGAGGCGATAGATCAAGAATTGGTTCAAACATTGATTTTTGGGAGCGAGTTGCAGTCTGGGTCTTTGAGACCCACTTATGCACAATGTGTCATTTTTGTTGTAGTGCCACTCCTAGAGGTCGCTGAAAGCTTCTTTTTGCAGCAAAATGTTCGTTTCCGAAAGTTAGTAAATTTCAGGAAATTTCAGGTCTCTAACATATTTTGTTACAAACGTAATACTTGTTTTAAGTTTACGCCGGGTTTCAAAAAATACCTCAACGCGCTAGGGAGGTTAAGAAGGACTTGACGTAGATGATCAATGAAATTTTTTTTTCATTTAAAATATTTGTTATGTATTTGGTCAGAAAAATTTGTCTACAACTTTTCCTTCAAACAATATGATGGTGCATTTTATTCATGATGCCAAAAATCATGAAAGTAGTATAGCTTGAAAGATCTGCTCATGTTTGAAAGAACGATAATACTTAAAAAAAAGTAAGAGGTTGGATCCAAGACACGACCGTAGATTTGACGTAGGATTACGTGCTCGGTATCGATATTCGGTGACTGTGCTAGGGAAACCATTTTGTCTCATCACGGAAATGCCTTGTTTTTCTGATATCAAAATTTCACATTATCGTGCACGGAATTTTTGGTTTTTGCAATAGATAATAAAAAAAGCGAAAATTGATTGGCGGAATTTCTTGCTAAAATTTTCCAATCGCGTCTTGCTTTTTTCTAGCGTCCTGGAGAAAACCTTACATTAATTCAAAGTGTTTCTGGTTAATTGACAAGGTCATGTGGTATTCGGTCATTGCGAGAGTTTGTATGAACCACTTCTCGCTGTTACGCATTTGACCACAAACCTTTGATTGCTGGTATCAAAGAGCTTTGGGAGTGATGTGGCTGGCAGCAAGGTGAGCGAACTTTCAATGAAAATCAACTCTTAAACAACAATAATTTATGGTGAGCCGGCGCCGGTGGTGTAGAGGTAAGCGTGATTGCTTTCTTACACCCTAATGGGTCTGGGTTCAATCCCAGTCGAGGTCGGTGGGATTTTTCTGAGGCATAAAAATCTCTGGTCACGTCTTCCTTCGGAAGGGAAGTAAAGCCGTTGGTCCCGGCCCATGTGTGTTGAATGGGTGCGATATCCTACGCAGGTGTGGAAGCTGCCTTACTGCACATTCGATTGCCATCAATGGATGGCAATCGATGTCCGTCGGTGATTGGCACTAGATTGCGGAACAGAGACCGACGTTAAATAAAGGAAAAAAAAAAAAAATAATTTATGGTGGTCCTGAAAAGAATTTTTTTTCCGTGATGGTTGAGTAGTGCTGAGCGGATGAGGCTGGTGAGCTGAATGTTGTTTGGAACGAGGGTGACGCGCTTGGCATAGTTGGTTCACAGTGACTAACGAAGAGCTAGTGAATCCGATCAGTAGCGGTGCGGTTTCTTCTTCCTTCGGTGAATCGAGGGCTCTTGAGGGCTGCTTGCTTGGAGCCTTTCGTTGTGTACTGGAGAAAAATGTACAACGCCACGCTTTTTGCAGGTCATCGGTGATAATTTTGATCACTACTGCAACAGTTGGACATTTGTGTAATTTCCAATAGTGACCTATTGAAAATTGATAAAGTGATCATTTGAGTAGATTGATAGAAAAATTTCGAATCGATTGGTTTTCTAAGAATTAAAATACATCCGCTATTCACAGAGTTATAAGTTGTCAAAACCTGACCACTTTTCGTAACGCAGTCGATTTTGGTTTTTTTTTTTTATTGCACCCCCAATATGTTGCCGAAAGACGTAATCCTACGTCAAAACATCACATTCCAATACCAGTGTTAATAAGAATGTTCTCACGGGTGCAAAAATCAAGAATTTCGTCGTAGCTCACATCAATGTGATGAATATATGCACACTACGAAAAAGTCATGTACATTTCGGTTCCCTGAGACCAACACATGTGAGCGGCCCTTTTGACATAAGAATCAGTTGAAAGAAACGAGAAAATCAATTCAACCAAGCGTTCTCTGCGTCGAGTTGCTTATGTTTCGGTTTGAGAACACTTAATTTTACATGAAACGTTTGTTTACGTTCCATGATTTACGTCCAATTTGGACTACGACTCACGTAAAAGTAATTATTTCTGAGTGTGTGTGTTAGGATGACTACTCTTTCTAGCATTCAGCACTGTGATGCAAGTGTTAAAGAGTGAGCTGTTCTGTTCTGCATACCTCCATCAGTTTGCCCAAAAGCGTAGTTACGATCAGTGCTGCGTGCTGTCAACAATGTCAATTGACCGTAAGATATTGGTCTAGCACTGAATTTCGCTTCCGACACTGATATTGGTAGTAGGCATGATATCAGATGGTTCGGCTTTGATATTACCATAGAGGTAACTCTAAGACTAGAAGGTCCCAAAGAAGCCTGCTCAAGTTTTTGGCTCAGCTCCGGTACTATCTTCGGTCCCAAGCTAATCGATGCACCCCTCGAAATATAGGAAAATTCATGAACCCTTCATTTTATCTGTCAAACTTTCATAGCAAATCAAAACAAACATAGAATTTCGACTAGAATGGGGTACGCTTATAGATTTACTTGGGACCAATAGGCTAGTCAAGTAGTGAGCCAATTTAAAATCGTTAGTTGCCAGCGGTTGATATTACTATCCATATGAATATCCCCAGGGAAAAGATGAAAATCTTATTTTTATCTCAATAAATCAACTATTACTGATCAGTTTTTTAATGATCGGTACTCGATTGGCTTGCGTACTTATACAATGTTCACACGGCCATACCCTAACGGAACTATCAACTCTATATTTTCATCTCCTCATCTATCGTATAAAATGACCACTCTAATAGCGAATTCGTTTATTATTCAGTTCCAACCTGGATCGGGTATCAAGATTGGGTCTGCTTGTTTTCTAGCAAACGTCAGTTTGATCGTTTGTTTTTAAAACCTGGCACGGGTCGAGTTTCACACTGGCAAAAAGTTCGGGTTCGCACGGGTTGGAACTGGTTCCAACCCCGATAATAAACGAATTCGCTATAAGTCTGATATTAATGGCAGTACAACAAGCTTTGCGATAACTGCAAAAACGATAGAGAAGTTTCTAGAAAGAAGGAAAGGATAGTGAACCTTAGGGCAGTTCCATCAGGTGATTTGGACGGGGAGAGTGGGATTGCCAATTCCCTGTTGATATCGTTTCGTGGATAAAGGGCGTGCTCTTCTTTCCACTCATTGGGGCATCTTCCTGCTTGGGGGCTTGTCTTTTTGACTAATTGTGCGATCATGTTGCTGGCAGGAGATTCTTTACTGTTCCGCAGATGTGTATATGCGAATCAATCCACCCAATCCGTTTTTGGATCTTCATACAACGACATGTTGAGGACAATCAGAGGCTATTAAGCTTGATAAAAACAAACAGAAAATTTTGAGAAATTTTAGGAAATTTTTGAGAAATTTTAAGCAATTCTGAAGCCCTCAGAACAGTCCAGGAGATTTTTTTTTTCAGTAAATTTACTCGCATTTTTTCTCAGCGTTCACTTGGTATTCTCCCAAAGTTCCCATGGCATTTTACAAGATATTCCATAAATTTCTGAAATTCGTCTCAGATTTCGCTTTGACTGGAATTACCTTGACATTCTACTCTGTTTTTCTGGAATAATTCTCAGAATTTTCATTGAATTTATTTCAGAATCCCGTTTGAAATTCACTCCTTCCCTTGTAATTCTCACATTGAAAGTTTCCTAAGAATTAATTGACAGTTCTCCTCAGATTTCTCCTCAAACTATGTTTGGCAAGCTCTCGTAGAATTCTTTTCCGATTGGTTTTGAAGTTCTTCTGGGTTTTTTTTTTCTTATCTAGTTCTTTTATTTGAAAGGCTCGATTAGGTTAGCTTTACGGAGCCGATAATTAATGGTTCATTGTTTGTAAAAAAAATCACTTACATATTTCTATGTCTAGTAGGAGTAAGGCTTAATGCTCGCGGCTTACCCGAGATTGGAGGGGGCATAAATTTAAGATTTAATTGTAATCCTTCATTAAGCATACCCCCACCCCATACTCTGTGCTCTCCCACCTTCTATGTATTCTCCTAAAATTTACAAGGAATATTTTCCGCCTTATAACCGCCAGGAAGCCTGGAAGCGACGGCAATCGTAATCCGGACGTGGCAGCGACGACGAAGAAGGTGGCAGTGAAATATAAGCGGAATCCAAACCTCTCCATCCGGGACGTCGCTGACAAGCTCAATGTCTTCCATACTACTGTGCAGCGGGTCAAGAAACGAGCCGGGTTGTCGACGTTTAAGAAGGTGAAGGTGGCAAACCGAGATTACAAACAAAACACGTCGGAAAAGCAGCGATCCCGAAAGCTGTATACGAATCTGCTCACATAGTTCGCTTGTGTCGTCATGGACGACGCAACTTATGCGAAGGTGGATTTCAAGTAGCTTCCAGGACAGGAGTTTTATATCGCATCAGAAAAAGGGAAGGTAGCTGAAATTTTCAAAACAATTAAATTATCGAAGTTCCCGAAAAAAAATATCTCGTCTGGCAGGCCATATTTATGCACGTGTGGTCTAAAAAGCGGCATTTTCATTACTACGGGAACCATCAATCAAGAGATCTACGTCCAGGAGTGCCTGGAAAAACGGGTGCTACCATTCCTAAAGCAACATAATAGACCTGTGCTGTTCTGGCCGGACTTGGCGAGCTGCCACTATGGGAAAAAGGCAATCGAGTGGTACGATGCGAACAACATGGTTGTGGTACCCAAAGACCATAACCCTCCCAACAGCCCAGAACTCCGCCCTATCGAATGGTATTGGGCCTTGGTCAAACTGAAAAACAAATCGGGTTTTAATACCATTATTTAGCACCGCTTGATAGCTACTAATCCTGTAGGAAAATTCCGCATAATCGAGAAAAAATCATTAAAAATAACTTGATTTTCGAAACGGCCGATCAACGAAATTTTTCAATTCAATAATAGGCCCACACACTAAAACGGCCAACTATTTATTTATTTCATTTCATTGATAGGCCTAGTGACGTAGAAGGGCCGATGATTGAAAATTTTCAAACCAAAGCTAGGCCCTACTGCTTGAGGCAGGGTCGATGATTTGTTTTGAATGTATTTGACGTTGCGAAAAGGCTTAGCAAAGGGCGTACCATTTCTGATGACAAGCACAACGGCTTAACAAAAAGGGCCTATCCATTGAAAGATTCACAAAAAAGGCTTATTAATTTATGAAATTAAAATATTATCGATTTTCATATATTTTTGAAAGGTTTTCAAATATTTTAGATGTTGTATACTGAACAATGTGAACAATATAAGTGCATAAAATACTTCAATTGTCTTAAATATGAATTGAATAGTGGCGGAATTTTTTTAAATTCATTTTCTGGTTTGTTTCCGTTTTGGACTTAGGACCATTTCAAATGTTACTCTAGAAATAACAAATTTTTAGCGATGGGCCCAATCTTAGATCCATAGGCCAACATTAGAGCCATTTTCCCTACGTCATGAAACCTCTACTGAGGGGTACTCTAAGAGAGACAAGCGATTGAAAATATCTTTGTAGACTCCGACTGAGCCTCTAGAATACGGTGAAGCTGTTAGACTTCAACAGAAAAAGAAAACTAGCAGTCTCATCGTCGCATTGATTTTTTCGATTGATCACTTAGTGATTTTCTCAAAGGATTTTTTCCAACTCCCTTGGAATGAGCCTTAGAAAATTTGGGAAAAATATGCATATTCCAGAACCAGAAAAAAACATGTCAAACCTGGTCCCACCTCTTACCGCTACAACGGTTTGAGGTATAGGAAATTATTCAAGCTGTTGTTTAAATCAGGAGCAGCTACATATTTCTACTCCTATAAAAAAAGTAAAATAAATTACATTTGAAACTGCTGCAGCATGGTGTCAGTCAGGTGAACGTGTTCCAAAAACTTTGCCCATTTTTGATATTATGGCCAACGTGCAATAACACATGCAGTAATTATCACCGAGACGTGTACTTCTCAGAAGACATTGGACTTGGCCACACTTTTATCGGTTAACATACCCGTAAACCATCCCACCGATGCTACTTTGTTGCTACGGGTAGTAAAAAAGTAATGAGCAATCCTCATCCTCACACATCGATGAGCTCGGATAACTTCAAGTGACTACAACAGCCAAATTACATATATGCAAATGACTGTGCTGGTACCGTCTACCGCATATAGCATTGTTTTTTGGTTCCCCTTCGATGCAAGTGACAGTCGGGTTCGGTTTCGGCGTCAATTTTGATCGCACCATTTCCACGAATTACATTCGAGCGCATCGCTAATTGGTTGAATTTGTCCACGTTTTGTTCAGCAGTGCCGCGCCGCCCAACAACCATCTTCACTCTTAGTTTTACCAGTTGAAAGGCGCAGCCTATGCACACTCAATTAAGCAATTCAATTCTTTTACAACCTGTTGATTTATACTTTTTTTTTACGTTTCAACATTCAGCCATTTTCTGTTTTTCACTGCTGGAATTATCCGCAGCAGCAGCAGCATCCAGCATGGATTGCAATTTGTAATTTATTTGCACGCGAATCGGCTCATCGCGTCTTCCACGTGGGAAATCTATCAAAAGAAGATCATGCACTCGCTCATTTGCGTACTTATGCAAACATTCTCGTCTAAACAAATGTTCCTATTTAGTTCGGTTGGTTAAAAAAACAACATGTTGATGCCATTGGTTGGTTGGTTGGTTGGTTGGTTGGTAGGCACGCGCTCGGCAAGGTCTAATTTGTATGCTAATCAGTATAGGTCGGTGAGGTGGTGTAGCATTAAACCGACCCGAAGAATTTATATGCACATTCAATTTCGACAGATTTGGACCAGATCATCTGTCTGCCGTATTGCCACCAGTCAGCGGTCTTGAGAGGTGCAATCCACCCAGCAAGAGAGATGAAGATTGGAGGTATGTTGTGCCGAGGAAGAAACTGGTTGCCCTCGTGGCTTGGGAACAGAAGCAGAAATGATTAATAAGAGTTGGAACTTCTTTCTTGAGTCAGCATAATTAAGTGAGGATTTGGAATTTCGGAAGATCTGATGGCTGGTGCCGTTTGCTTAGTTAGATAAGATGGAACCGTTCGAATTTTAACGCTCTGGTTCTAGTTAAGTGCATTGTGTAAAACGAGCAGGTATCGGAACATGGCATCAAATGGGTGTTGTGTAACATGTTCTTAATATTGTGAAGAAATTGGAGTAGCTATATGTCAAACACAAAGCAAACTCAACATCCATCAAGCCCTCCCTTTATATCACTCTTTTAGTTCCTCTTAACCTCTTACGCCCCAAACGCAACTAATCGAAGCGATATAAAACATGCCAACCAAATGTAGGAAAAAGCCACCTTCATTAGCGACCACGTTTGATTGAGAATTTCGCGCGTAAGCACGTTCCATTCAAAGCTCGCCAGATGTGCCAATCGTGGCGACAACAAAAGCCACCGTTGTCGTCTCCATTGATCAACCGTAGATCGGTGGTCGTCGCAGATGAGTAGACGACTTTTGCGGGGTGCATGGATGCTTTATGCGGTAACCACCCATCAGGAGGAGCCTTTGGGCGATGCTGCTATTAATGATGCTTCGGTTCGAAGAAGGTCAAGTCATAGTCAGTGTGACCCTCTCGAACGCGGAGGTCATCGGATTTACGTTTTTACATAATACCGACAACTGTTTTACCATGCATTTGGCAACAAGATTACCTATGCTATACATATGTGGTTTTCGTACTTACCGGGTGGCAGGGATATCTTGCTCTGGTGGAGCAACGTGCACGTAAACGTGTTTGTGGATGATGGGCGCTTGCGTTGGTGGGCCGTACTCTGAAGTCGCTGAGGCGTAGCTGTTGACGGAGATGGATGGCGGTAGCGGCGGTGGTCCATAGCTGTAGCCTCCACTCGGAGGCTCCGGTCTGGATGGGGGATAGGGACCGCCAGGACCTCCACCACCGACCGGAGGCTCTGGACGGGCTTCCAGGAACGTTGGAGCGAAGGATGTGAACTGAAATGGTGGAATGAAATGGCAAAATCGTTACTAGGGTCAGCAGGTATAATACGCCCCCTTAGGGAAAAACTGTTATATTTGTGCCGTTTTCACTTCAATGCCGTTGATCCGTTGCTTTGAAAGTTAGGACACAAGTAACCAAAAGTTCTGATTAAAGGGTATTTGAGGCTTAAGCAGCTATTTTCTTTCTTTGTTGGGATTTGAACCGCTGCGACCATTGATCTATTGTGGTAGCAGCTTGGTTGTAGGTGGCCTTATAGAATTTTAAGCAGCCCCTCACTTTTAAGTCATTATAACCATAACTGAACAGCATTCTAAGCAGATTGAAAAATGAGTAGAGTAGGTTTTTGTGCTTTACACCAATTTTGTAGTTAGTTCGAAGTTTTATGAAAGTTAATTCTAAAGTTAGGTCTTTATGCAAGTCATTTCTTAAGCCAGGAGTGATTGTGTATTGATTTATCAGCATTAGTAGTAGTATTAGAACTGTTTGAAGAATTAAGCCCAGTCCTTCTGCGTGAGAGCCCCAGTACGAACCGCTACGCCATCTGAGAAATATTAAAGTGAGCTGTTGTCCCGCCTACTGTTGGAGTTTTCAGTGCCAGCTGACTGACTTGAATGCGAAACACAATACACTTGTGGCGCAGTGGTTAGCGTGTGTAGATCGCATGTTAAATACACGGCTTCAAATCCAGGAAATTGCTCCGCTAGAAACTTATTTGGAACTTTATTCTGGTCATGTTTTCAGCGTTGCCTGAAGTTCCTAAGAATGTGCTTGGAAATGTTTTTTGGGAACTTTATTTAAACTTCAAGCTGCTAAGAGTACGCAACGGAACTTTTGGAGCCTGAAGATCCTCGTGTGCTTGCTATAGCTTCTAAAGTAGCTAGAAAGTTCTGTTGGAATCAGTGTTGGCAAAATCAGCAATCAAATAATATTTTTCTGCTCTCATACGCTCTCAATATCACGCGTGATTTTGGAACAAAATATCATGCTTGATATTGATTTTACAAGCTCCTTTGATATTGCGAGACTATTCACAACGCGCAAAAATCAAGTTGAGAGCTGACTCGACCGTCCCACATCGTTTTTTTAGAAAGAGAAAGTATAGTTTGCTATCTCTTTTTAATCTTCACCGATGGCAGACACGAAGGGACTGCTGCCAGCCGTTATGGAAGTTTCAGTTTCATTCGGCAAAATGCAAAAATCATTAAACTTAATATCACCATAGTTAGATGAGATTTGCAGTTGGTGAGTTTTGTTAGCTTGACATTCCGAGCAGCGATATCACAGCTTGTAAGATGTTTGCTTGTTGATTTTTGTCTACGAAAATCAAGTGTGATCTTGGACAGTGATGAGATTTGATTTTTTGATATTTTTCCAACACTGGTTGGAACTTTATATGCGCTTTATGGAACATGAAAGTGAGTTTTATCGTGGAATGCGGAACTTTTGGTTGCTTGAGAAGAAAGTTTTGTCGGAACTTTATGAAACTTGAAAGTTCTGTCGAAGCTTTATTTGAACTTTATGAAACTTGAAGGTTCTGTCAAGTTCAAGGTTCTTTATTCGAAATTTATGGAACTTGAAAGTGAGTGCGGAACTTTTGGTTGGTTGCGAAGTAACTTGTTATCATTTTTTTCCTTCGTTGGTAGCTAGCATAGAAGATAGGAAACATATTTCGACAAAACCCAACATTCTAGGTTCTTCAAATACGTGGTGCAATATGCTCTATCTGTCATATAATTTGCTTCTACAACAAAATGACCATACTAAAAGGATAGTATGCCCCACAACGAAGTTGTGACATACCCCAGAGCGTCAATATTAGAAGTCTTAGACTGCACAAAGATGGAATAAATATCTTTTTAAGGCTCCGTTCCATTTGATGAATTTTCACTTACATTTGACAGATGTTTTTTTTAAATAAACCTGCTATTGTACCAGACTTATTTTTGACCAGGAATCAATTTTGACAAACACCACCTCGAAAATCGGATGATCAACAACAGAGGGATTTTCGAAAATTATAATTTATTTTCGAAGTGTCAAATGTAAGTGAAAATTTACCAAATGGAACACAGCCCAAAATGACGTAGGGAAAATGACGGCTTCGGCATGACAGACTATTTTCGGCAACACAAATTGAAACACTATTTTCACTGGATTTTCTAACGAAAACACTTCGCTGAATGCATGCAAACGATTCTTTATGCTTTCAGCTTCACTTTGACTATATTTTTACCACTGAGAAAAAGCAATCTAGCAAGGTTTTCTTAAAATGCAACACACGCACTACAAATTGTAGCTGATTTCGAGTTGCCGATAATAGAACAGCAGATTTACATGCAGTTCAAATGGAACGGCTGCCGAAGAAAAACTGGTTGCCGACAATACTCGCTCTCACTAGAGAAGATTGGAGCTTTGTAAAAGCGTTTCAAAACAGTTTTTGACAATTCTTTCGACTGAAATTGTTAGAGCAGCTGGCAGCAAAAGATTGTAAACAAACCAATACTGCATATGTGTGCGTTCCTTAGAGAAAAAGGCTATAGAAAGAAGGTCGCTGCTTAGGTTGCCGAGAATACGTAAATTCCCCTACACAATTACATCGAAAGCATGATTTTCAGAAGTTTTGTTTCCAATATTTATTTGCGGCAAAATGTCAAATGTCAAAATTTCACAGCAGAGTGTTCCCATCAAATAGTTCGATCCCCATCAATTTTTCATTTATGTGAAATCTGAATTCGATGATAAAAAATGGGGCCTGTCGCTCCTGACAATGGCGCGTAATCTGTTGGTGAACCGATGTAAATAATTACAGCAATTGACAGCTTGCATACAAACCATGGCTCCTTCCAAATCTAAGCATCAGAGGAATTCTATATCATGTGTGTTTGGAAGCCATTTTATAATGCTATAACATGAGCCTAAGAAAGAACCAATTGCATCATGGACGTAGGAGAAATAAATGGAAATGTGATTTTCTACTTCTGAAATAAATATAAGGACGCCATACAAAAATGTATGGGAAATTGGTCATTTTCGAAACATTATTTAGCATGTCAACAATAATCATTAAACTTCATTTCTGAAAAGTTGTTACCAGATCCAATCGCTAGAAGTTCTCGAACATCACATAAGCCATTGGTTGATCAGCGATGATCGCAAAGGAGATACATTACATTTAGGCTTCGTTACTCACCGACCTTTCGACCCAGAAAATGTTCGATTCATTTAAGGTGAAAGTTAATGCTTTTCCGTTGCTACTGAGTCCACACCCCTTCGAACCACACCCAAATTAAAAATGCACCTATACCAACAAGCATTGCAAATTAGCAAAATGGGAAGTATTGAAACTTTGACCATATTCGTAAATACAATATAATTATATAATTATAATAATTCTACTACTGAAATGACAGCTTCAATTCCAAGATTCCAAGTTCAGGGAAGTACTGCTGAAGTTCAGAGAAGTTCTGCCGAAGTTCAGGGAAGTTTTGCCGAACTTCAGGGAAGTCCTGCCAATGTTCAGGGAAGGCCTGCCGAACTTCGTGAAAGTCCTGCCGAAGTTCAGGGAAGTCCTGCCGTAGTTCAGGGAAGTCTTTTGAAGTTCAAAGAAGGCCTGCTGAAGTTCAGGGAAAACCTGTCAAAGTTCAAGGAAGTCCTTTCATTTTAATCCTTGGAAATCAGAGAAGCCCTGATGAAGTTCAGGGAACTCCTGATGAAGTTCAGGCGAGGGGCACGCAATACAAAGAACCAGTGCGTTGAAGTTAAAATGCAATCAAAAGTACTTAAAGTAATTAATGCGTTTTGAAGTAGTACTGACGGTAATTAAAATGAACTATCCGTACTTAATGTAATTAGAAGTATTGAAAATGTAATTAATGAACTTTAATTATGAAAAGTCGACTGTAATTAATGGACTTAAAAAGTTGTTAATGTTCTACACTGTGCAATTAATGTAATTAAAACAGTAGTTAATGGAATTATTTCAATTACAAAAGTTGCCTGCGTCGGAGTTAAATGTTATTGCGTGCCCCTAGAGTTCAGGAAACTCCTGTCGAAGTTCAGGGAAGGCCTGCCGAACCTCTGGGAAGTTCTGATGAAGTTCATGGAAGGCCTGCCGAAGTTCAGGGAAGTTCTGCCATTTCAATTCTTGGAAATCAGGGAAGTCCAGTTGAACTTAAGGGAAGCCATGCCGAAGTTCACAGATGTTCTGCCAAAGTTCAGGGAAGTTCTGCCAAAGTTCAGGCAAGTCCTATTAATGTTCAGAAAAGGTTTGCCGAGCTTCGTGAACGTTGTGCTGAATTTCAGGGAAGTCCTACCGTAGTTCAGGGAAGTCCTGCTGAAGTTGAGGGAATTCCTGTTGAAGTTCAGGGAAGTCTTGCCGAAGTTCAAGCAATGTCTGCCGAAGTTCAGTGAAGTCCCGCCATTTCAATTGTTGGAAATCAGGGAAGTCTTGATAAAATTCAGAGAACTCCTGCCAAAGTTCAGGAAAGGCATGCCGAACCTCAGGGAAATTCTGACGAAGTTCAGGGAAGTTCAGATAAAGTTCAGAAAAGTCCTTCCGAAGTCCAGGGAAGGCCTGCCGAAGTTCAGTGAACTCCTGCCGAAGCTCAGGGAAGGCCTGCCGAAGTGAGGAGAAGTACTGCCGAAGTTCAGAGAAGTTCTGCCGAAGTTTAAATAAGTTTTGCCGAAGTTGAGAGAAATTCTGCCGAAGTTCCTGCAGAATACCTCCATCAAATAGGCTGAAACGTTCACAGAATATCCTCGTATACTTGTGAAACAACTAGTGAAAATTGAGGATCGCTTTGGTTTAAAAAATATTTTATTTAGCAGTGGCAAAGGTTAGTGATTTCTAAAATAGTTCAATTTATCTAATTATCTTTAAAAAATATCCAGATATATCAGACTACCTCCATCAAAAAGGCTAAAATTTTCACAGAATATCCTCAAATGTACAAATGATAATTTTATCACAGTTTTCATGAAATAAAGGTTTTTT